ATGTCAAATGTCGCATTGCACAATTATTGACAGTAGCCTGTAAGTTATATAAGCCAGCCTTATCTCCATTTTCACATAGACCATAATGCTCCTTGTTTACCCCCCCCCCCCGCCCCAAATTTTGCATAACCATTGTCGTCAATTTCTCTTGGGATGACTGTAATACCCAGGAGAAATTGGAAATAATGCTTATGAAACATTTTGGGGGTAAACGAGATGTATTATGGTCTATGTGAAAATGGCAAATGAAGATGAATTAACAGCTGTCAAAATCAGGCATCTGCTAAACATCACATCACCATCTCGTGGGCTCAGATGAAAGACCAGTCGTTTTGCCCCTACATGTAAGCCGGTGTAATATGTCACACATGTGTACGTAAGTCAAGTTATGCGCAAGCCAATTCAAGCTCAATTAACAACTGTCAAAATGGGACATCCGTAGACCACTATCACAAAACGGACACGTAAACCCGAAAAAACCAACTAATGGAGAAACAGAGACCGTGTAACCCCAACCTATGCTATGGCGTTGCCTTTGGAGTTATAAGGCAAAACTAATAAAATAAAGCCTGATAACATGAATACGAGCAGAAAACGAGATGCTACATAAAATAGCTAAGAAACATAGGGACCAGTACAGATGGGAACGAAATTAAGGCTAACAGAATAAGGGAAAACTAAACTAAACAAAGCAAGTTGACGCGGCGAAGCCGACCGTAGAATGACACGCATAACTAAATGCTCACCATATCAAACCCCCTAACCGCGATCCCTCGCGCGCTACACTAGAACCCAGTACTCCGTTCCGTGCCGGCAAAATAGTAATTTATGTCAATTCTAATTTACACAAATTACATTATGTAAACTTGTAAGAACATCTACTGGGCGATTGTTTGCAGTTTTCAGAGGGTTTAGAATTTTGCCCTGTACTTTTTGCTAAAACGTTTTTGAGAGGATACTTAAATAAAGTTACACTTGACCGGTTCATTTGCTTTGCGAAAATCTATGAATAGATTTTCGCCTGTATTGTATCACAACACTCCTAATCTGGGGAAAAAACCGAGAAACAACATTCAAACATGCTCTCCGCTTATTTTAATAAGTAGTGTAGTAAGAATAGAATAAATCGAGATGGCAATTTAGTTAAAACAGTATGTTTTGATCCTGGAAGAAACAGACAAATAACGCAAAATGTGCAGTTTTGGGATCAAAACTATTTTTTTTTTAAATTTGTGTTTGCGTGATCGGCATGTGCAACCATGCAAACTTGATGTAAACATAGCGCACAAATGTTGCTTCAAATAATTTATTGTAGTTTTGCCTCCAAAAATAAACATTTCAATCATTTTTTTGTCATTCGTTTGAACAATATTTTAGCCTGTATTTGATTTCTATCCCAAACCCAATAATATGCAATAATATTATACGGGGATCAATTCAAAACTTTAATTGTTCACAACCTGTTGATTCCCCCCCCTCCCACCCAACAAGGGGGGCTGTTAAAGTTTTGCATGGGTTCAGTATACCAGAAGGCATTAAGCTCGATTGGAGACTCTATTCATTTCAGACGTTTTTGCGGGAAATTTTATTCTTAATCAACTGAAACCCTTACTCAAATGGTAAATGAAAGGCCCCAAATGTTAAGTAGGGATTTGAATATTTCTTTGTCATGGCTTAAAGTTAAAAGTTTTTTGCTTTTATTAGAAGTATATAAACGAAAGCTACGCTTTTAGCCCTGGCTAAATCTATATATTAGTGTTTGGTAAATAAATAAATAGATAAATAAGTAAATAACAATGACTAAATAAATATTGTTATACTCAAACTCCATGTGTTACATAGTCATGTGCTGTTGTGATTACCATGAAGACGAGTCCATTATAGCTACAAGAACATTAATTTCCAACATACTACTACTACTAAGTCGGCCACTGCCGAGCATTGACAAGATTATTCCAAACTCTTCGATCGTACATCAGTGCTTCTAACTCCTGACTGGAGTCTACATCAGCGTCTCACTTTACGTTATCAACTTATGTTGATTTTGGTTGTCCTCTACCTCTATGGCCGTGGGTTGGCTCGCAAAGGGTGAGTTTGTGTGCTGGGAGGTAGGGATGCCTTTAACAGAGCCTATCCTCCTTGCTCCTACTTTATCTCTAACTCTCGGCAAATCTCCATAAAGATCTTCCTTGGAGGTGTGGTTTGCCAGGAAACAATCAAGGCCACCCGCAACATGCGAGTGTACCAACCATTTATTGACTTGGTAAGGGTAGAGGCTAGGGTCCAGGTTTCACCACTCAGAAGAAGAACAGATTCTACAGTGGCTTTGAAGAATGACAGTTTTACGCCCCTGGACATATTAGATTTTCAGATCTTCATGTC